TGCCTCCACCTCCCACACCCTGGGATCTCAAGCTTGCATCACATGTCCAGTTTCCTTCCTTCCTTCCTTCCAGTCTTGTCACAAGCCATCAGGCCTGGCTTTCTCCGCCACGTGGAAGCATCGATCACATTCACCCAGCCTCCTTCCTCTCCTCTGGCTGGAAGCTGATGAGTCTGGGCTCACTGCTGGCATGATGTAGCACTTCACAGCCACTAGGCACTTCTGACCCCATATTTCAACCTGCTCCTTCCAGCCTGGCCAGAGGCTCAGAGAAGCCCGGCCTTGCTGCAGCTTCTGATCTCCACTAGGGGGCAGCTCTACCCACATTTCCAGGTAGCTCCAGCAACATCCTTCCTGGCATCCTGACCCTCGTTTCCTTCCTTATTCCACTCCTGTTACCCCAAACTCCAGTTTCTTCCACTCATATTAACTCACTTAAAACCCTGAGCCTCTGACCAGTGCTTTTTACACTGACTGCATACAGAATCAGCTGAAGAGATTTAAAACACAGATGCTACAGCTCTACTCAGAACCAGTTAACTGAGTATAGGGTCCCCATGTGGGTATTCTTAAATGCTGCCCTGGAGATGCTAATAAGAATCCTGGTCTAAGATACTGCAAACTGTTTCCCATCCAGACAAATGTCTTTTAACTTCTGTAATATAACTTCCTAACACTGGTCCTTCCCCTTGGGTGGGGAGCACTTTAAAAGAGGAAAACTAACTGAGCATGGTAGCTTATGCCTGCAATCACAGCCACTCAGGAGGCAGAGATCTGGAGGATCTTGGTTTGAGGTCTACCCAGACAAAAAAGTTAGGGAGACTCCATCTCAATAATAACCAGAGCAGCCGGGTGCCGGTGAGCTCCAGCAGAAGTTGGAGTATCTACTTTGCAAGCACAAAGCCCTGAGTTCAAACTCCAGCCTCACCAAAAATAAAAAAAAAAAAGCTGTGTGGGGACTCTCAGACTTTTTCCCCCAGCAGTGTACCACATCCCAGAGAGCTGCAAGGTGAGGCCTGGCCTGCCATTTGCACTGATCAATACAGTGATCAATGGCTATAGATAGGCATTCACATTTAAATGTATTGCATCTCATGTGGTAGCAATCAAGTACTGGGTTTGAACCCTGATATTTTATTGACTTCACCTCTCAGCACCTCAGTATCCTCATCCAGAAAATGGGTGAAAGTAACCCCTGACTAATCTGGTGTTGTGAAGATGAAAGGCCACAAGGCATAGAAGTCACTTAATATCTGGGAAGTGGTGAGAAATTAATAAATTCCCCAAATCACACTACTGTATGAAGCCAATGGTTAGAAAAGTGTTATTATTATTTTACAAAGGAGTCATTTGAGCTGGGCACTGGTGGCTCACGCTTGTAATTCTAGCTTCTCAGTAGGCAGAGATCAGAAGGATCGTGGTACGAAGCCAACCTGGGCAAATAGTTTGCAAGACCCTATCTTGAAAAACCCATCACAAAAAGGGCTGTGGAGTGGCTCAAGGTGAAGGCCCTGAGTTCAAGCTCCAGTACCACAAAAAAAAAAAAAAAAAAAAAAGCTCCTCAGATATACCTAGTGGGTTACATGGCTTGGAACAGCACAGTTATGCTCCCCAGTGGTCACCTGGGACTGTTAAATGCCATCTGACCTGCACCCCATCCCATCAATGGCAGCCCCAGGGTCTGGTGAGGTAGCCCTGATGAAGCCAGTCCACCTCTTTCTTTCTCAGATAAGAAGCTGAGACCCAGACATAGGAAGTAGCTGGACCTCTGCCATAACTGATGGGTCTCAGGCCAGAAGTAACAGGTGGGTCCTTGACAACCATTCAATCACCATTCCAGTGTAGCTCAGTGGTAGTGTGCTCACCTTGCATATGCAAGGACCTGGGTTCAATCCCCACTACTGCAAACCAAACCAAGCCAATTACCATTTCATTCTATCTGGAGAATTTCTAGCTCCAGACTTGGAACCACTAGTAACTCCCCTCTTCCTCCACTCACACACCACACACACACACCACACACATACCTCTGACCCAAGCCTGGGACGGGGAGGGGACTGGCCCTGGAGTAAGTACTGGAGTGGTAGCTGTTCATCCACCTTCAGAGGCATTGGTCCCTCTGCATGCTGAGGGGAAATGATGAAGAAAGAGGTGGGTGCAGAGTCTGAAAGGAGTGTGGCCTCTGTGCCTCAACTGCCTCCTCCCAAGGTAATGGGAACAATAGTCCCTAGCTACTGGGGCATTCTGAGGACTCTGCTGAACATACCTGAGGACACAGAAGACACTGCTTACCACTGGAGGGCTGCTGGCGAGGGAAGATTTATTTTTCACCCTTTTGAACTCATGCACATGAATTTGCCCATTCGAAAACTAGTTTTGTTGGGCTGGAGAGGTGAATTATGAAGCTAATAAAGACCAGCCACTTAAAAACAAAAAAAACTACAAATTTTTTTTGCTAGGAGTAAATTTGGGGCTTTTGTTTTGTTTTGCTTTTTAGAACAGTGCCTGCTATTTAAAGAACCATTGATGATTGTGATGAAGATGTGCTACAGCTCCCTCCTGACTTCAAACCTCCTCTTCCTCCAGTTTCAAGTCAAAGCAAGTCTTCAAACCCAACACCAGGAGGAGGAAGGATGGACTTTAAATTCACACCTGATTCCAACCTCAAATCCTGTACAACAAGCTGCTGTGTCTCCACTTTTTTGATTCTAAAGGCTACTTGTCTCTACCTTACTAGTTGTCACCAGAATTTAAGGAAACCAGACAGGAATCTGAGAGAGCAGGGCAGATGTCCAGCACTGCTCTGACCGCTGTACACATGTGGTTCATTGCCTCTAGGGAGTGCCACTGTCATGCCATTGTACACACAAGGGCTAGGAGCCTCTGGGAAGGGATACCCCGCTGAGAACCAGGGCAATCTGCCTCTGCAGTGAGTGTCCCCAACCACTACACTACCCTGGCTCTCCTGCGAACATCATGTATTTAGAACATCACCAGGCACATGAAAACTGCTCTGGAATTGTTATTGATACTCACCAAGACCTTTCCCAGGCCACCTGATTAATTGCTTTGGGGCAGGATCACATGATCATCACGAAGATATTCAAGGGGACAGCATTTAGCCATGTGGCACCCAAAGAGTCTGAGGGTCTCTTGCCCCATTTCTCCTGTACCCTCAAATCCATAGCCCACCTGCACAGTCCCAGGGCAATGAGGCTCCTTACTCCACACCCCCAGCTGTGCTGGTGCCAGTGGCTTCCGACACCTCCCTACAGACACTCTCCAGACAACTTAATGAAGCCTGCTGGGGCATGGATAGCAATGCTGTGGAGGGGCAGCCTTCCCCCAAGTCCAAGTTCAGCAGGTTTCAACCACCCCCCACCCCACCATAGCCAAACAGATTTTAGACAACCCACTGCAAGAGACAAGCAGTTCCTTCTTACAGTAGGGAGTGCAAATGTGGGGCCTGTCAACAGCGACCCCACAGCCACTTGAAATGGCCAGGCAAGGGTTACTGCACACATCTAGATGGACCAGTACTTGGCTTGCAACACACACGTCGCCCACCTCATGCAGACAGGTGCGTGTACCTATAAGATTCAGAATCAACACTTGGCTAGTACCATTAGAACCCAATTGGGTGAGGGAGGACAGTTCCAGGCCACTGTGGGTAATGCACCAACATAATCTGCTTATGAATAATTGAGCTTATTGGTAGTGTCAATGTCTAAAGCCTTGGGCTGAAATTCCTAATAGATTTCCAGGGAGAAGAAGGCTCTTTTAGAAAAGCAGTTCACTGCCTTGTTTCCCAGACTCTGGAATAACTTACACAACTTCTTTGGTTCCTTCTCTAGCCAGCCGCCCCTCCCCCGCAACATCACCACTACCCTGGCACAGTCACACCTGGAAACACAAAGGACCTCAATTGGGGAGGGGAAGGAAATGCAAAGCAGAAGTGTTTCAGGAAGTCCCACCCTTTAGGAGGCTGGCAGAATAGCTCAAGTGGTAGAGCACCTGCCTAACAAACGTGAGGTCCTGAGTTCAAATTCCAGTACTGCCAGAAAAAAACCCCTAAGTATATATGTTATATGTATAGAAAAAGGAAGCCCTGCACCAGCAGGGATTCACCTTTGGACCACCTCTAGGAGCAGCCTTCATTTAAGGTTGAGAGCCAGGAGGTAACTCAGCAATTCTGGAAATGTTTTCACTTCTTCAGTCACAGAGGCACTGCCTTTGAAGCTATTAGGTTTCATCCTCTCTCAGAGAAATGATTTGGCAGCCCACTTCCACCTGGGGGCTGGAGAAGGTCTCCCGCTGCTGCGGGGAGACCCCACTCCCATCACAGCAAAGAACACGGTGGTCCAGGCCAGAGGCTCCCTACAACAACCAACAAACCCACTCACAGGCACATGTTCCATACTACATCCTGGCACAGAGCAGGAAAAGTAATGAAGCAGATTAGGGCAGGACCAGCAGGGTCCTGGTTGTGAGGGGAGTGAAGAGCTGCAGCTGGGGGTGGAGATGGAGAGTAAGAAGAGAGAGGCAAAGTCTTCCTCATGGGGAAGGAAGTGGAGGGGAGGAAGGGGAAGTGGAACTGGTCAGTGACTAAAGCCATCTTCTTCACAGCCGTTCAACGTAGCCTGAATCCACCTCTGGCCTTAGAACAGATGTCCACCATGACAGAGACCCTGCTCAGGAGCCAGCACCCACCCAGAACTCCACCTGTCATCACCAGGCCCCCTCAGGCTATGTAGGATGTACTCCTCGGCAGCCTACATCTGGAAGAGCAAGCCAGGCACATCTGTGAGCCTCTTGTCTCTCACCCAGTGCCCACCTTAAATGGTTAGGTGTTCACCCAATACCTGTCTGCTTAAATAGACCATTCTTCCTGAGGACATGGCCATGGACAAATTCATGCCCCTAGTTGGGGTAGGAGACAGGATCATGTGTATCTGGGACCCCGCAGAGGGCGACAGTCCTGAGGGGCTCGAGGCTGTTACCTGTATCCTGTCTTCCGGCAGCTCTGTTTTCATGGCCAGCATCTCACGGGCATAGACGTCTGGGTAGTGGGCCTCATTGAATGCCTTCTCCAGCTCCTCTAGCTGGTAGGAAGTAAAGATTGTCCTGAGGGGAGCAAGATGGGACACTCAGGTTCCCAGAAACCAAACATGCCTGTCTTGGAGAGGACAGAATGGCTCTCTCCTATCCTTGGGGATAGAGCCCAGTCCCAGAGTGGTTCAAGACAATCAACACAATCTCTCCCAATCTTTTTTCTTCTCTCTCTCTCTCTCTCTGTCTCTTCTCTCTCTTTCACACACACACACACACACACACACACACACACACACACACGATGACACAGCTCATACTGTCCTTCTGGGGTGAGGGCATCATTTCAACCTGCAGTGACATTTCACACTGAGAATCTCTCTGGAAATGCTCTGCAGAAAAAGGTGTTAAGAGGAAGTTTTCGAAGACCACAGAAAGCCCCTGTTTCTCCCCCGAAATGGAAAGAGGAGGCCACACCAGATGCTGCTTCCTGCCCTCCCCCCATAAAGTTTGAATATTCACCAGGTCAAATGCAGCTTCACCTTTCAAATTGGTCTCCAGTCCCTATCTCAAAAAAACCTTTCACAAAAAAAAAGGGCCAATGGAGTGGTTCAACGTGTAAGCCCTGAGTTCAAGCCCCAGTACTTCCCCCCCCCCAAAAAAGCACATAAATGTTTTCCAACACATAAAATTTTGCCTCTAATATTAGGGAGTTTGCAGAACCTCTTTTTTGAATATCCACACTGAGCACCCACTCACAGACATGAACTCTCCTCTTTTGAGATTTTAATTTCATCAGGTTTTAGGTGGCCTTTATCCGGCACCATTGTCAAAAAGCCAACAGGCAATATAGTCCGCTTTCCACCAGCTGAACTTGCAGCCCTGGCTCATCCCTTGCTGCGCCCCCTAAGACTTGGACCCTGGGACCAGCGCAGCGGCTCAGAAGGTCACTGTGGCGCCTCTCCTTCCCCAACACCATTGCTCCTGCTAGTCTGGATTTAGTATCTCGGGGATAACGCTGAGAGGGTGTGAGGAAGAGCGATCGCGTTCTTCATAGAAAACGACTGGTTTGATCCTAAATCGTTTTGTCTATTCTCTTGAGGAGGATATGTGGAATTCTTATGTACACAGAAGGTGAATTCTCCAGAATTTCGAACCTGTATTACTTTCTTTTTCTCTCTTGCCACTTGCTGAAAGGCCCATGAACAGACCGTCAAAATAAACAATCAAAATACTCGAGTCTTTTTCAAAACCAGGGAAACTGAGGCACACAGGAAGTGTGGCCTGTTCAAAGCCAAAGAGGAGAGCTCATTGAAGGTCACTTAGAGCCATTCAAGTGTTCGCTTCTACTTGGAAGAGTCCCCATTCAAGAAAAAACCGAAAACGAAACTCAAGTCCCCCAGAATCCCCCAGTCCCACCTCAGAGCCAGTCGCATGCAGTTGGTGACATGCACTCCAGGGAGTCCCCTCTCCCCACCGCAGGACCCAAACTCTGCTCCTGGGTGAGGCAGAAGCCCAGACCCCTCTGGCTCCGCTGGTTTGAGCCGAGTTTTCACTAAAGCGCAAAATCCCAAAGACCGTCACCACCGCTCTTCCATCTCCACTCCACCCCCAGGTCGGGCTGAACCTGGTTTGTTTCCAGGAGGTAAACACAAGCCCATCTCTCATCACCAGATTCCAGGGACTCTTACTCAAAATCCTCAAATGAGAGAAGCTCAGGAAAACATTTTTTACTAATTAAAAAACCGCACCAGCGGTCATAGTTATCTTCTTTTCCAATAATTTATTCCCTTCACGCACCAGAAGAGACAAACCCAAGGCGGTTAATTCTTTAGTGTGGGTGAGTCGTTTTTCACCCCTCCCCCACATCAAAGCCCCCAAAGGTTCCCTGATAGAAAGGGTGAGGGATTAAGGACAGAGCCTCAGGGACCTTAGGCATGGACTTTGGGTTGAGGGTCAGCCATCTCTTAGTACCACACAGTGAGCTGTCCAGATGCCCTTCCAGCGCCCTGGGTTTTGGGGGATGCTTTTTTTCCAGGGCTCTTAATGTCTTTTTCCAGGACTCCCCTACCTATTCCACTAGAATGGCAGGATCAGAGTCCTCCCTCCACATCACTGTCCTGAGGACCAGATGGGTGCATAGAGATATTTTAATGAGTATTTGTTGAATGAATGAATGTGGAAAAGGATCGGGAACTGTACTAACAAAAAAGTTTCCTGTTTAAAATAAAATAAACTAAGCCAAAACAAACAGCTGCCTGAGGGGAATGAAGCCAGGTCCCGCAAACCAAGTCAAAATTCATTTTCTTTCAAGCAGGGCCTGAAAGGTCAGGAAGCACCGTTTTAAAAGACGGGGGTCAATAGAGTTTCAGAGGACCAAGGAAGAGCCAGGCTCAGAAAAGCACTGAGAGAGAGGGTTCAAACATGCTGATAACAATTCAGGAGACAGAGAAAAGGATGCGGCGGGACTGGGAGCCGGGGAGCGCCCCAGTGGGAAAATGTCCGGAGAAGGAGTGTGACCTTGTGGCTGCCCCACCTGGGTCGGGGGTTGGGAGAAGAAAGAGAGAGAAAGAAAGAGATGGGGAACGGCCTGCGGAGGAACGCAGAGGCAGCACCTGAGCAGCACTCGCAGAAACACTGGCAGATTTTTGCAGCTTCTCGCTCCTTTCTTTCATCCAAAACCTCATGAATTTCCACCAGGAACCCGTAGCAGTGGTGCTGAGGGGAAGGGAGCGAGGATCTGGGGGCGCGGGCAGGGGGAGGGCGAATTACTTTTCAGTCCATACCTCTCAGCGCCTATTGAATTTTGACTTTGTGCAAGCAATGTCTATGTAAAGGCATTTAAAACAACTCTTTAATCTCGACTCCAATGCAGCCCACCCCCCTCCAGCTATGACTGGTGAGACCAGCTAGTCCACACACGCCCCATTTACAGACGAGGAAACTGAGGCTCATGGAAGGATAGCGACACACTCAGAAGCACAAAAGAGCAGAAGTCGAAAGAAAATGTTCCATCATTTCCAATGTTCCAATGTTTCCAGGGATGTACAGACATCCCTGTACATCTCCCCAGTAGAGAGCCGGGAAGTTGGCAGAGAGGACAGGGACCGCGGGAGAGGAATGGGCGCGGGGCAGGGGGAAGGAACCGGCTTGGGCGGAGGTGGGAACCCAGATAGGCCAGCCGCCAGGTCTGCGTGGTTCTCAGATTGTGCTTGGGAGGGACCGCCAAGCCCTCTCGGGCGCCGGTTTGGCCCAGACTGGGGCCTCTCCTTTCTCCCGCAGAATGAGGAGAAAAAGCCCAAATGGGGCCGCTGCTTCAGCGGCAGCTCATCGTCCTCATCCGGTGTGGCTGGACGCCAGGGCCCCGGGCAGGTTCCCGCAAACAACGCAGGTCTCTCCGCCATGGCACAGCCCGGGACCTCACATCTGGGATCCACGAAAATAGGGTCTGAATGACCCAAGACCGAATTAGGGGGGCGGGTTACAGAGGAGGATGGATAGCCTTACCTGTGTCGCCGCTTCTTCCGTTTCTTGGTCTGGTTTAAAGCGGATTTGGACATTTTTCGGTCACTGGAGGACACATCTTCAGAATCTGAAAAGCAGGCGAAGGAACATGCGGCAGAATGGGGAGAACGCTCCACGGTGCCCGAAACCCGCGAAGGCCCCACCCGGAGCCCCCTCCGAGAGCCATGCGGGCTTGATGTCTCCCCGGAAGCCCTCCAGAGTCCCTGGCCTCTGTCCCCATCCCCAAGCCCAAGCTGGCCCCACCCACGTCAGCGCCTGAATTTGCAGGTTTTGAACAGATTTCGTTGCAAAAGAGGCAAAGGCCCCAGCGCGCCCGGGGGCAGGGATGGTGGGAGCGCGAGGCTCAGGGGGTCACAGGGACCCGAAGCGGCGCTCTTGGCTCGGAGCCCTGCCCTGCGCCAGCAGCCCTGACGTCCCAGGTAGGAAAGTTGGCCTCAAGGAGTGGAGCCGTGTCTCGGGGAGCCGGGCTCTGGGAAGGGCTGGGAGCTGCCGGGTCACTGTCCGCTTTGGCGGTGCACACACAATGCGCCCCCTCTTGAGGTCGGAGAACCTGTGACGTGACACTTTTCGTTGCCCTTCCAAATAAAAATAAAAATAATGGAAACGAAAAATCAGGGGGAATTGCCGAGAGCGCACAATCGCCAGTGGGCCGAGCGGGCCAGAACACACCGCCAGCAAAGTGGCCCCCAGCAGGGAGCGGCGAGGTCGTCCAGGGTCCCCGAGCGGGAGAAGAACCTGATCCGATACACCGTGGCGCTTAACGTAGGATAGGATGGCGGCCGCTTTGCCTGCCATGGTGGCCTGGTTTTCCGAGTTCGTGGAGTGAAAAATAAACCCCAGCTGAGCAATTCAGAGGGCTGGAATGGAGAAACGAGGAGGCAAAGGACAACTTTGGACACCGGCTGGGGCCAGAGCCGGCACCCGCTTTCTGGGCCTCCAGTGCACGGACCAGCATCCGGCTCCAGAGCGCGGGGGCTGCAGGGGAGCCTCGGAGCTGGGGCCTCCAGCCTGCCCGAGACCCTGAGCCATGGGTTCTGACACCCCGAACCCAGTGTGCAGTGGGACCCCAACAAAGCGCTGCGGCAAAGCCAGGCCAGACGCGGGAACGGAGAGCCGAGCAGCAGTCAGAAATGCCGAGGCCGAAACCCGGCGGGTTCCGGGTCCCGATCCCCGGCCGGCTGGGTCCAGGCCCTGATTGCGCCCCTCGGCCCGCACGAACTTTTCCACCCGAAGGAGGCCTTGTCTCCCCGGCGACAGCCGACGGCGCGGGGCTCCTGGTCTCGCCCGCAATCAGGCATCCGCACAGCCTCGCCCTCACCTACCCGAGCTGGCCGTCTGACTGGTGTCCAGCGGCCCCGACGCTCTGCCCAGTGGCTGCAAGTGGACGCTCTGCGGGTCAGACAGCACTTCCAGGAAGGTGGGCTGCGCGTAGAAGCCCGGCAGCCCCCCGGGTCCGAGCAGCCCCATGCCGCCCACTCCTGCGGGGCTGAGCACTGAGCGCGCCGCCAGCAGGTGCCCAGGGGCCAGGCCGTCGAGGGCGGCCCGCGGGTGGGAGCTAGGAGGCTCCTTGTTCAAGCCCAGGATCTCCTGGATGCCGAACCCTGTGCACCTGGCCGGGGCGCCCCCCGAGGTACTCTTGGCCACTGTCTCGGATTTGGGCTTGCTCAGCGCTTCCCCGGCTTTACCCGTCATCTCCCGGTTCTTTGGAGGGGCTGAGGCCGCAGATCTTTTGCTCCCCCCAACCCCCGCCGGGCTCCCCGCTTCGCGAAGTTGGTCCCAGGTGCCCCCTCCGGTGTCTAACGCTCTGGAGCCCCAAGGAGATTCCCTTTTTATCCAACCAGGCGGCAGCCCAAGTGGGGTCAGAGCTGAACAGCCAATCACCGGGGCTAGGAGCGATTAGGAATTCCAAAAAGCTGGCAGCTCCCGCCTCAGCAGCTCGGAGGGGCCAGGGCCTGCGGGACCAGTGCCGGCGGGCTCTTTAGGTCGCCCTTGGACAGGGATCCCAGGGCGGAGGCGAAACACCAAAGTTCAGGGCTTGTTCCAGGAGGCTGAGTGGATAGCGGCTCTCAGCACAGCCTGGTTGGGACCTGTCCCTTGGTTGGCCCAGACAGCTCCCTGGGGGTGAGGTGGGAGGATGAGCTAAAGACAGAGGCTAGAGAGTGGGAGATCTCTCCCCTCCCTTAATTCTTATGCAGGTCAGCAGCCTCAAAGAGGGCCAAATATGGGACCTGTATAAAAGGTGGAACCAAGGGAACATGGAGGGCCCTGGACAGTGTTTGTGGTGGCACTGGGCAATACAAGAAGGGACCAAGGTGTGGAGAGGGAGATATGAGGGTTTGAATTTATCAAGGTTTGTCCATTCAGCACTGGACACAGTGCCCAGTTCAGAAGACCAGCTTAGTAAATACTGGCCTAGTGAACAAATGCAGGATAAAGGAGTCAGGAATAGAAGTCCCCAGGGAGAAAGAGGAGCTATCATGACTTCTTTTGGAGAACAACCATGGATGACTATCTCTTCTCCTCCTTTCCTTCTTTTTCTTTTTGGCTGTACTAGGACTTGAACTCAGGGTCTCATTCTTGCTAGGCAGGTGCTCTACCATTTGAGCCACTCTGCCTGCCCTTTTTTTGTGTTGGTTTTTTTTTCGAGATAGGGTCTTGCTAACTATATGCCTCAAACCACGGTCCTCATGATCTCCTGAGTAGCTAGGATTCCAGGTGTGAGCCACTGGTGCCTAGCTATTTATTTATTTATTTATTTATTTATTTATTTATTTATTTTTATTGAGACAGAGTCCCACTATGTAGCCCAGGCTGGCCTCAAACTCACCATCATCCTTTCTCAGCATTCTGAGTTCTGGGATTACAGAACCATGCCTGGCTAACAATGGACTTCTGAACATCTTCCTAGAGTAAGCATTAAGTGTGCCCAACTTCCACCAAAGGACTTTGTTTACCCAATCACCTGAGTAATATGTATTGACCACCTACTAGATCTGAGCTAGGGGTTCCTCAGCAGACCAGAAGGCAGGAGACCTGCTAGACTTCAGAGTTCATTGGCAAACAGAAAGAGGCTGGGATTGTGGGTGTGGAGGAGAGGGAGGGATGAGAGGCAATTAAAAGGGGAGCTGCTTCCCCAACTCTTGGAGACCCTTTGGCCACCTCCTGCTCCAGAAGCTGTGGAAAGGCAGCTAGCAGTACCAGAAAAGCAGCAAGACACTGCTTCAGGTAGAGTGAGACCTTCACCTGGAGAGCAGAGAAGTGCCTGAATTCCTAAGGTGGCAGTGGAGCTACAGGTTTCCCACGGTGCTCTTGTTTGGGGGCTCTAAGAAGAGCATATTCAAGTGTCATTAGCAAAGGCGAACATGCATGCACCCTGAGCTCCTGGACTCCCCCACCTCAGCTAGCTCTTCTGTGACCTTCTTGGAGCTGGGAACTGTCTCATCTATCTTGGGAATCCCCTCTCCACTGTGCCTAGCATATGTAAGAAATGATTTTTTTTAGCCAGGCTCCAGTGGCTCACGCCTGTAATTCTAGCTACTCAGGAGGATCACAGTTTGAAGCTGGCCTTGGCAAATAGTTCTAGAGATTATCTCAAAAAACAAAACAAAACAAAACAAAACACCAAAAACCATCACTAAAATAGGGCTGGTGGAGTGGCTCAAGGTATAGATCCTGAGTATCGAAAAAAAAAAAGTTTTTTTTTAAGTCAAGGATTCTATGAGGGAGATGAAGACAGTCTCAGTTGCTATGGACAGAAATAGGAAAGCCAGGTTGAAAAAATTCCATCCAGGATTTCTTGGCCAGTCAGCTGCGAACCACCATGTAGTGGGAACCTCTCCATCCCCAGTGTATTGCCAAAGTGTCTGGTATCCCGTGTGGCTGCCATGGGGCCAGGCTGAGATGTAAGAGAGACTCTAGAGGGTGTGGGAACTAGGACTTGCTAACAGGGCTGCTGTGAGGTGGGTTCCCGTGCCCACTTAGGAGGGACATCTCACAGTGCAAGAGGTGTGCGGGAGAGGTGTGCCGTTCACTGGCAGCATCCTATAATAGCCCATTATATCGTGCCTCTGTGCACTTACACTGTCCCAGCTCCTCGCTTACGATAATCTCTGGTTCTCACAACAGCCCTATTCGTACCTTGGTTCCACATATGAAAACTGACTTTGTCTTTTTTTTTTTTTTTTTGGTGCTGGGATCAAACCCAGGGCCTCATGCGTGCTAGGCAAGCGCTGTACCACTGAGCTCCATCCCAGCCCAAAAATTGACTTTGCAATTTTCTCTTGCAAGGCGCATGTGCAGGAATCTGCAGTCTCCTGGCACCCTTCATCTTGTGTTCCATGGAGCTGGGTTCCAAGTGGCACCACTCACATAGACAACAGCATAAATGGTGCCCCTGGAGTTGTGCAATGTCCTACCTGCCAGAGAGGAATTTCTACCTCCTTGTTGTGGATATAGAAGCTTAGGCTTCCTGAGAAGTACAAGATAGCAGCAGAGGCCAGACTCAACCTCAAATGTCTGATGTCAGAGCTGTTCTCTTTGACTCCATCACTCTCTTGGCCGGCCTCCTCTCCAGGCCAGCCTACCCTGGGAGGATGGATGGGATGGGATGTTAAAGGCATCTGTCATGTCTCTGATTTATCAGGAGACAGCCACAATGAGCCAGATGCCAGCCGGTGGGCAAGGACGTGAGTGATGGAAAACTGTGTAAGTGATGAAGTCGGCTCCTGCCAGGAGATGAAGATAAGAAATCTCTTGACCAGTCCCCATGTCTGAAGCTGCCAGTTCTCAAGGCCAAAGAGACAATCACCACTCTGCCCTAGGAGGCTGGGGACGGGGCACCTCAGACATCATGACCTTTAGTACATTTTTTTAAAGTTGCTTTTCAGCTAAGGTCTCATGCTTGTGCTGGGCCAGCCTTGGACTGAGATCTTCCTACCCAAGTAGCTGGGATTATAGTTACCACTCCTGGCTTGTTTATTGAGATAAGAGTCTCACTAAATTTTTGCCTAGGCTGACCTTAGACCACAATCTCCACCTCCTAAGTATCTCGGGATTACAGGTGTAAGACACCGCACCTAGCCCCTTTACTACTATTCTTAATGGCTGTCAGGCACCCATCACAATTAATCTGCTCAACTTCTCTGAGAGGTCAGGAGTTCTGTCCTGCTTCTTACGAGTAAGACTCTGAAGCTTAGGGAGGGAGACCGGGATAGAGGAAGATGCTCTCTTCTTTGTCTCCATGCTGGTCATCTTTAGCTGTAACCAAACCATTCTCCCCAGCTGCTGCCTCCCAGAGTCACCACCCACCATCCACAACAGACTTTTGAGAGGGGCTGGAAAATGCAGGGAGGAGAAAGGATCTGTGTTTGAATCAATAATCTTATTATGAATCTGTCACCCGTGACTATGTTTCACTTTTTTAAATGCTGTTGTGTGTGTTGGATTTAACTCTGGGGGGTAAATTTTATCTTTCATTGTGCTGGACAGTTGTGCCTAGACAGTCTCAGGATGAGACAGCCCCAAGTCCTGCCCTCTCCTCCTCCTGTCCTCAGGCATTGGACCAGATACTCTGTTCTCTTTGTTCAGTAAAAAGGCTGATACTAGGAGAATTTTTTTCCTGTGCTGAGATTGAACCCAGGACCTTTGCACCTGTTAGGCAAGTCCTCTACCACTGGCCGACACGCCCGTCTCCTTACAAGAAGGATTTTGATTCACATTTAACTTACACACATGGAACACTTATGAAGTTCTGAAGTTTTTTTGGTGGTACTGGGAGGTTGAGCTCAGGGCCAGTGCTAAAGCTTGAGCCACACCCTGCAGCCCTTTTTGCTTTTAGTTACTTTTGGAACATGGTCTTACAGTTTTGCTCATGCTCACCTGGACTGTAATTTTCCTGTTTATGCTTCCCTTGTATTGGGACAGCTGATGTGAACCACCACAACTAGCTTATTTGTTAAGATGGCGTCTCGCTAACTTTTTGCCTGGGCTGGCCTCAAACCACAATCTTCCCAATCTCTACCTCTCTAGTAGCAGGATTACAGGTGAGTGCCAACACACTCAGCCTAAGTTTTTGAACTTCTTGATATTGTCTCAGTGAATCTTCCCAACTACCTTGAAAAATACTTACCACTTTTCAATGATGAGGTAACTCAGAGAAGCTTGGTGACCTCCCCAAGAACTCACATCTGCTAAGGACCACCTGGAGTCCAAGTCTACTGCATCCTTGTTTTCTTTTTTCCTCCAGACCTCGATTCTCCTACCTACATCTCCCACATAGCTGGGTTTACAGGTGTAAGCTACCATCCTTCCCCACCAGGATGGGAGAGAAGAAAAGAAGTGGTACCCAGGGCAATTGGGAAGGGCTACTGAGGTCAAGGTTGGGGTGAATCCCCAGAATTCAGGGGTGCTAAGAACATCTTACCTCTAACACCTACACCTAGGAGCTCCTCCTAGTTTTCCAAGGGCCTGAGAAGTAATCTGTATGCTTTAGAGTTTTCTTAGAGGGCCCTACGAGGGGGACAGAAGGAATAAGCTCTTGGTAATGCCTCCAGACAGCCTTAAGAAGGCCTTGTCCCCTACCAGTCACCTTCCAGGTGCCACCTGTGGCTGACCTGAGGGTCTTGCTCCAGCAAAATACCACCTGCTAGGTTTTGCCCCACACTCTTGCACCCTTCCTCCCCCAGCATTAACCTGTCTTTAGCCTCTCAAAGGAAAAGAGAAATGCTGTACATGTAGTCCTTGTCTTTTCAGTAGCGTTTGCCTATGGGCAGGTAGAACAACAGAAAGAAGCAAACAACAG